TTTACAAGAGTGTACGGCTGCTGGCGTACGCCGATGATATTTATGTAATTTGCCATAACAACCGTACCGTTAGTTTACTCTCTCCAGTTCGAAGAAAGAAGCGAAGCAAATGGGAAAGACAAAATATCTGCTGACATCCAGCTAACAGTCGTTACAATCGCGACTTAGCTTCTACATCACTGTTGACAATCATAACTTCGAAATTCTAGACAATTTCGTCTATCTTGAAACCAGCGTTAACATCAAAAACAACGGCAGCTTCGAAATACAACGCAGAATAACTCTTGCCAACAGGTGCTACTTCGGACTAAGTAGGCAATTGAGAAGTAACGTCCTCTCATGACGTGCAAAGACCAAATTCTATAAGTAACTCACCATTCCCGTTCTACTAAGTAGCATGGACGATGACAACATCTGATGTGTCGGCGTTACGAGTTTTCGAGAGAAGATTTATGGTCCTTTGTGCATTGGCAATGGCGAATACCGCAGTCGAAGAGAGATGATCTAGACGAGATATACGACAACATTGGCATATGTAGTTCAGTGAATTAAGATACAGCGGCTACGCTAGCTAGATCATGTCGTCCGAATGGATGAAAACACTCGACGTAGTACCCACCGGTCAAGCAGAGAAATAGATTACACTAGGAATCTCCAATTGACACCAAGCAAAAAAAAAGAAAAACAACTGGTGCGCTGGCTGAAGTCGCATGGAGCTGAATCCGGTGATAACAATGGTTGAGACCTCCTTTTGTTATTGTTAATTACATGCAAGAAAAAACGGTGTATTTTTTAAACCAATTTCTTCTTCTTTCTTATTGGCGTAGATACTACTTACGCGGTTATAGCCGATTTTACTAGATCATGGTTATCACCGGATTAAGCTCCATGCGACTTTCGTTTTTTTATCAAAACTAATAAATCCATAAGAGGCCAAAGATTTACCCGATGTATGCGAAAGAGAACTTGTCAGGAATCGTGTGACAATACGTAAGATCATTGGATAATGTTGAATAAGAAATAAATGATGATCCGATAAGCGCTAATGGCTGAAAGTGCACGTCATTTAGCATTCTAACTCTATTATTTACACACCAAGACTGTTTCTGTTTTGATGCTTTTTAAATGAGTCACTTGCATAGACTGATATGTACATATGTATTGAGTTGCGTTGGCATTTTCCAAAGTTGAATTGGCTGCGATTCTAGCTAGCAAATTGAATTGTAAGCATTGATAGGCCGCGTTGACGCTAATTGTAAAAAATGCCAATACATACATATACAAACACGATGCTGTGCATTCCGGGGCGGACAGTTTGTCAACTTGACTGCACTTCGTAAGCGACGCCCCCTGAACTTTAAAAACCAATGCACATTCATATGTATATGTCTAGTATATACATACATATGTACATCTATTATACATATGTACAGTTTTTTTGTTCAAATGGCAGGCGTGAAAATTTTCTGAAAGCGCCGTAGCCGTCGTAGTCTAGGAAAGTGATGCCAATTTAGGTGATGCTTAAGTGAATACAGGGCACACACACCAACACAGAGGCGCAATGGCACAACAACTACAACAATAAGCTGCAGCACTTGATTGTTGTTCTAATTTAGTTGCCGCTATTTTGATTGTTCTTGTTTGTGTTGCCTTAGCACTATTGCTCCAATTCTGTAATTTTTTGGGATTTTAATACACACACACATGCAAACATACAGTTACATATACATGAATAAGTTTAGGCCTATATTTTGCTGGTGAGTCAATAAATACCGCATTTTATTGATCCAATCAGCGTGCATCTAATTGAGAGGAAGATAAAAATCAACAGCAGTTAACAGTTCCGCAGATAATTGACCTTTTACGCATTGGCATTGTGGGAGGGAAGGTAGGCATGGTGTAGCAACAACAATAAACAAATATTTACTGCAAGCAAATCTATAAATTTTCTAGTCTTTTCGTTTAACATGTAAAAGCTTGTTGTAATCGTGTATTTTATACACTTAAGGTTGTTGTTGTTGCTGCTGCTGCTATTGTGGTTTTTAGACGCATTGCATTAGTTAACTGCTATAATAAAATCGCATTTTAAGTGCCAGAAGCTCTTAACTTTTGCAGTTAAATAAATATTTGGTGAATTTTTTTTCTTGCTTCGCTTTGAGCGTTTTGCGGCATAATAGAAAGTGTTTGCTATGCAATTTATTAGCATTACAGCGGTGTATTAAAGAGCAAGAACTATTGTGTTTTCCTGCTTTTAAAAGGAATTTGTTTTGATAATTTACATTTAAGGTATATAAAATATTTGTGTTTATTACTCAGCCCAAAAATTCACTCAATTTGAGTGATTTGTTTTGGGTGCTCTTACGCAAAAAAATTGAACTAATCCATCAAATGTTGGAAAAACATAAAATTATTTGAAAAATTCCATGTGGGAAATTTGTGAAATATTTTTGTTAGATGCAATTATTTAACTTTTTAATTACCAAATTGTGGTTGAAGTATTTTTCCTTGCTTTAATCAAAGCATATTTCAATATTATCTATTTCCAATGTATGTGTAACAATACAAAAATCGCTAACTAACGGCTGCAAGGAAGCTATAATACCCCCCACACACAGGTGCAGTTCTTGTAGCATTGAAGCTTCTAGCCTTCACTTACCTTTGTTTGTATGGTGGCTGTATGCTATAATGGTCCGATCACAACAATTTCTTAGAAAACTATATATATTTGCCTTAGAGAATAATTCATGTTAAATTTCGTGAAGGTAGCTCGTCAAATAAAAAAGGTTTTCTATACAAGCGCATGATTTTGATCACTCAGTCTGTATGGCAGCTATATGCTATAATGGTCCAATATTAAAAATTTCTTAGAAAATTATACCGTTATCTCGGATAATAATCCATGCCATATTTCGTGAAGATAGCTCGTCAAATAAAAAAGTTTTATATACAAGGACTAATTTTTTATATGCTATAGTGGTCCATTATCAACAAATTCTTAGAAAATTATATTGTTGTCTTGGAGAATTAGTCATACCGAATTTCGCGAAGACACCTCATCAAATAAAACATTTTCCATACAAAGGCATGCTTTTGATCGTTCAGTTTGTATAGCAGCTACATATGTATGTGCTATAGTGGTCCTATATCGGCGGTTTCGACAAGTGAGGGTATAAAAATTAAGTAGATTAAAAAAAATCTAAGAAATCTAAACAAATTTATTATAAAATATGAAAGGTCTTAAGATTTATTAGCTTACTAAGTGAGTGTGTTGTTTAGTTGAAAGCTTTAGCTAAGTGGCGAGATGTTCTAAGACTATTTTGGCATATGTACATACTTGTATATGTAATATCTATATATAATCAACTTCACTAACTTAGTGAATTGTAAATACATCTTGGTAAAACCTCAAATCGGCTATAACAACTATAATTTTGTTTCGAGTAATTGAAAGATTTCGAAAAGCTAAGCTGATTGATTTGTGGTTATTTCTACAAATTAGTTTGGTTATGCATCAATTTATTGAACGAAGTTTGTTTTAGTACACATATTAAAAAAGTTCTCACTGCTATTAAAACAATCAAGTTCAGGTCTATGTTTCATAAAATAGGCGTTTGTTGAAATAATTGGGCAATCTTGTTTTTTCGCACTTCTCTTTAAAACAACACAAAATAAGTTTTTTAGGTCATTGCAAATGCTCTTTGCTTCACTTCTTAGGAAATAGTATGCTAGTTTAACATTGAATAGAAGATGAAAAGGGAATAGGAGTACTATTACGAATTTCCTCTAGCATTCAAAGCCGACGTTGACTCTTATGCTATATGAAGGCATTTTTGAAAAGTTCTATCGCCATTTTTAATATGAATTTTGAAAGTAACTACAGTTCAGCTCCGCCTGAGCTTCTAATCTTACTGTCGCTGGTTTTTACACCTCTAGTACGGTGTGTTTTGTAAAATAATTTCTCCAGATGAATTCAATACAAGAAGAAGAAGTKCGTTCCCCATTAAGCAGTTACAACTCCACATGTGTGGTGTAACAGACCTTTCGATTTCTCTCCGTGCAAAAAATATCCAAAAGAAGTAAACACATTTCTGCAAACTTTGTTGTACTTTTTATATTTTAAAAGAATAGCTTTTGCACGAAAAAAAGCAAACCAAAAAAAAGTGCAAGAAAAAGCAGAAAATAGCATACAGCCACATTAGCGCTGCTCTGGCCCCCAAGCTAATTGGCATTGGTAATTGAATTGTATTTAAATTTAAAATGTAATTTGTTTTGGTTTTTGCCTCTCAGTATACAAAGCATATGTATATGTGTAGGCATTTTTTACTTTTACTTTTATTTCTTGAATGAATTTGGCTGCATTGCTGGCTATTCTGCTGAAATAGGTATACATATACCACACTAAATGTAGGTAGATACATATGGATGTCTATATTTGTTGCATTTTGTGTTTCGGCATTGTTGCAATTAGTACTCAACATTTCCACATGTCTCAATTGGCTACTGATTGACGTCTTTTATTGGCCATTGAGGCGAAATTGAATTATTTCAGAACTTTTTTGGTTGGAAAACAAGTTGCGGGATTGCTTTTTATGGTTTGTTGTTATAGTAGAGGGATAGGAATGGGTTTTTAGCGAAAAAAAATTTTAGTTTTCATAAGAACATTAAAGAAATCTTCGAAATATATTAAATTATGATTTTTGTTGCATTTTATTTCTAAAGAATAATTGACAGTTAGGTTGTTGTTTAGTAAACATAAAGAAATGGAGTAAAGAGCTCCCAAACTAATATTGATGGCATCTTTCTTCATCTTTCTTTAACGTAAATTTTTTAGTTAAAGACAAGAAGTTATGAATTTGGTTAATTTTTTTTTTTTTAATTTTAATCACTTTTATAATTTTGTTTGTGAATAGCCTTTAAAAACTATTAGAAATCTTTTTACTAATAAATATTAGCAGCATTTATAACGGTACTTATAATTTGATTACGACTTTCACTTTCAGAATGCGAAAGATGCAAAATAAGCACAAAAAGGTTAAACCTCAACAAATTCTGCAAAAGAGACTACGGTAAGTATTTATGAGAAATGAAAGCTCAAAAAAAGCTTTCACTTAAAATATACGACTTAGTTAAAATTACAATTAAGTTAAGTAATAATTATAGTATATTTTGAAAATCGTAAGAGCTTTTTATATAGCCCTTAGTCTAGTTATAATAATATAAAATATCACCTAAAGTTTTCTAAATTTCCTTAATAAGATTTCTAATTTCCATCATCTCTTACCACCAGCAATAATGGCGAAAGTGATTGGCCGCGAATCGAGTACCGAAGTAACGAGCAGCAGCGAACAATACACCAAAGAAAATCAACAAATGGATCACGACGACGAAACGGAGGCCATGGAGGACAACGCACCCGAAACGGTCAAATACGACATACAAATACAGGCGATCTTCAAGCGTACCCCGCTCGAGTACGCAACAACGAATACAATCCTAAAACGGGGTCCTTTGACCTGGATCATACCAATTAAGAATCTAGAATGTCGCTGTCCCAGAATCAAAATGAATCGGTAAGCAAAGCAAAAGAATATATAAGACACATCAATAAGCAGTTATAACAAATGATCAAAATGTATCGATACTAACAGAAACCCTACATTCCTATGTAAATTAGTTTTAACGAACAGTTTATGTGGACCAGTGTGGTTCAAATTTGATCAGCTGTTATAAAATATTGAATAAATTATATTTTTTTGCTTTCTCCTCTCTCATTCACAGCTCCTATCTGATACTGGGCAGAGATTCGGAATCGCCACCGGGCTATCTTGGCATCGGTCCGCGTTCCATTGTGATCGAGTGGAAGGATGAATGGTATAGACGTATGAAACGCTTCCAGCGACGTGCGCGAACGTGTCAGTAAAGTGAATTTGGAAAAAGCACAAAAATTTTAAAATTGAAAAACATACACACTTCCACACAAACATACATACGTACATACATACATGCGCATATTTTAAATGTATTTGTATTTATAAAAAAAAATAATGATAATTTCAAATAGTTTTTAAGGCAAAACTACTTAAATGCATTCAAAGTCGAATAAGCCGATTAACACACACACATACAAGCATACACATATATTTGTACATACGTATGTACATATGTGCAAGAAATATATACGTAATTGTATGCATCTGAGTGAATTAATTTTTAGCTGTGTAAAAAAAAAATATTTGTATTGTATCTAAATTATTCGAAAAGAGCACAAAAAGTTGCAATAATTTTATTATTTCTTTAGTTTATTATTTTTAAATGAATAACGCCCATAATTATTTATTTATAGTATTTTTTATAATTTACTTCATCTCGCACTAACACCGATTTATTTTTTAAATGAAAAAAAAATATAATTTAAGTATAAACTTTTTTGAAAAATATGAGCTTTTTTCAAACTTTTGTAACATATTGATAAAATTGTTTAAACATTATAAAGTAAAAATCATACGCTGAAATATAATGAAAGCATTTTTTATTTACCAAAGTATTCGTGAAAATAATATATATATTAATTTTTATATATTTAAAAGTTAAAGCTTTTCTAGGTCAAACAAAGAAGCAATTACAAGCAAAAGTTTTGTTGAAATACTAAAAAAATAATTTGAAAATACATATATAATCTACCAAAAGTCTTGACGAAGCTTTCTACATCATTACTGTTTACTTAAGCTTTTGAGAGCTTTTTAAAGCTTAGGATATGCTTATGAATTATGTGCAAAATTCTTTAGAAGAGTACAATATTTTAACTCATCGCCAATTAATAAGCAATCTAACTAAAATAATAAATACATGTTTCATGTAATTTTTTTTTAAGTTTTCTAAAGTTGTTCGAAAGCTAATAAAACTTTGAAAGCTCGAGAAATAACTAAGAACTATAGACAATGCTACAAAACTATTTTATCTAATATGTAAAACAGCAAATAGTAATAGTTTTCACATAATTTCTAAAAGCTTTTAAAAGCTAAGTGAGCTTTTGTAGAGCTTTCACAAAGTTTTGTATTCTTATATAAAACTTTTAAAAATTAATGGAACTTTTAAAAAATGCTTACCTAGTATCAGAGTAATCAAAATTCATATGGAAATCAAAAGCACAAGAAAGCTCTGAAAATAATTAACAACATATAGCCTACGAAAACTAATGCCACGAAATTATTTTCACTAATATTCCAAGCAGTAATTGCAGCAATAAAAGCTTTCTAGACCTTTCATGTTAATTTCTTAAATTAATGGAACTTTTCCAAAGCTTTCACAAAGTTTTATATGCCTTTATAAAACTTAAAAAGCTGATGGGCTTTTCAGAAAATATCTATACAGTAACAGAGTAATCAAAATTCAGTTGGAGATCAAAAGCTCAATAAAGCTTAGTAAAGAACTAACAACAGAGTATACTATACATATATGACGGATATTATTTTCTATAGTCCAAAAACTAATTTTTATACTAGATACTTATTCGCATCAGGGTCAGACTTTTTCAAACAATAACAAAATTAACTCTTTGAAATCCTTTTTTTTTTATCAATTTCTAAGGAGAAATGGAGTTTTTTGCGTACTATTAGCAATTAAATTTCATGCCATACATTTTGCCATAACTATTTACTCAAACTCTACTGTATTTTAGTCCAATCACACACACACAGATCCTATATAGCAAACATAAAGAACCATAAACGTAGTTTAAATTCATACTTATGTGAAGTAAATAGAACTGGAACAATAAATAATGCGCCAATAAATTACCTAAAGTAAATAAAAAATCAAATAAAATAAAAATTGATATATACACAAACACGACTAAATATTTACAATACTTGCGTACACAAATGAAAAAATAATAATAATTAAATGGCAACTAAAATCAAATGTATGAAAAAGCAATAATGATTAACACACCGCACAATAAAAGTATTAAATATTGAAATTAATATTAATATAATGTACTTACATAGTATTAGGG